AAGTCAAATCAAGTCAAAAATCGCATTATTCATCCAAAATGGACGGATTCTCAGCTTCTTGCGCTCCAGGAACATTTGTCGTCGCATACGGTCGCAAAAAGTAAAAAAAAGTCAGCATTGTCAATTCAAAGGAATGTGGAGTACAAGTTTAAAAACGAATATCAGTTGCGTAGGCAATTCGAGAAGTTTTCTCTAACGGATGCCTTTTAAGCCAGAAATCTCGAAAGGTAGGGGATGACGGACAAACGATAGGCGGTGGTACGAGCATACACCAGTTTATGACGACATCTTGTTACAGAAGTAGATATACATTTTGTAAGTTCTGTGTGTAATGGGTGAGTGTTGTCTGATAGAATATTGTTACATAAGTTATCGCAAGAGGTAAAATGTTTATCGACGATAAAGTTAAGCAAGTGCAATTACGAAATACCGCTTGTGCGTGAAATAGTTTTAATAGACCGGCTTAGAATTGTGTAATCTTTAGCTCTAAGACCGGAAAATAAAACTGGGGAGCAGCAGAGAAGATGAGTGACAACACAAGAGTATACAAATAGAGTGAGTAAATACAGTGGAACTTTTAAAGAACACAAACTGGTAATGAAGAAACACATCCGTCAAATTAAAGTTAAATATTAGGTCCAGGTAAGATCTTGGTGGATAGTGAAACCTAGGTGTTGCAGAGAGTTTACTGGGGGAACAGACTGGTTGTCAACATAGAGTGCAGAATAGTTTCTTTCAAAAGAATGTAGCCGTTCTCCTTTGGTAAGTGAAAAGGTGACATCCTGAAAAGTGTATCATGATGTATTCAATAAAAGGGAGTAAAAATGATAAAATTGGTTACGGGGTACCAGTTCTGTTTGGTTGAATAGTGTGAATCGGTTGTCTTACCGATTTACAAGATAAGGGCTTAATAATTTTATGGAAACCTCTGAGGAACTAGTTTGATCAATAACGTATTCAAGGTTCCCGCTGGCACTGTGCACTCCGTCGATTTTCTGTCGTAAGTGAACGGTTCATGGTTGGGAACCTGGTTGGTTTAAGATTCGATCGTGGATGCATCCGCCGTATTTGCACCGTTCACTGCATTCTATGGCAGTGGCATTCTTTCCGCAGATCCACTATTTCTCTATCTAATGCAGCAATCGGTTTTCAACTCCGTCAACTTCACGGTACCCTATTGCAACCTGCTCTTGAAAGATGTGTTGAAAAAGTTGTAAACAGATCTCGAAATCTAAAATTTAACGTCCAAATGGGGGAGTGGTTGATGGGTGATCCTGGAGGAAGCCGTAAAAGGGCTAGGGAATCGTTGGAGTTGGGTCAACCCTATATATGGTTTTCGTTTTTATTTCACACATTCTATATGACGAACAGCAGACAGGAAGGACCCTATGGTCACGAAGACCTGTTTTTCAGCGAGGAAAACCGGACCTAATCCCCGGAACTTGGAGTGGTAAACTACGTAAGGCCTCACTAGATTAGGCGTGGTATTCAACTGGACTACAGTAAAGCCACCTAACACCGGACTTGGGTGGTAGTGACAGAGTTCAAACCTCGGATCATAGATTTCAAAGTACACTGGTGAGACCGACTAAGCGATTGAACCACCAACATGATCATTACTTGCTTAGAATTAGATATCTTCTTCGAAGAGTTCTGGCTTCCTCAAAGTTTAGCTTCCCCGAAAGTCGGGACAATATAAGATCCCAAATGCATCAACTGGTA